GCGTGTCACTTTGCAACCTGCGGCGCGCCCATCTTTTATTGAATAGACAGTAAAACCTGAAAAATAAAGGAAAACCAAAAATTTGATCTACATAGAAAAGCGCCAAATACTCGATTCATTAAATAATCGCAATTCCCACCTTTTTTTTACTTTTTTTTGTCCTAATTTTTTCGACTTTCTTTTTCAGATTTTAAGATATTTTTTCTAAGAAAAAATAAGTTTAGTAGGTAAAATGATATTTTTTTAAAGGACTCTCTTCGGGTATCTATATTTTTCCTTTTTGTTTTCTTTTTTTCAATAATCCCATGGGTCCCATCTGGTCCATATAGTGACTCATCCTGCTCCTTTCACCAATTTCTCAAAAAAAAAAAGAATGAGTATTTTGAGCATTTTCCCCAGTCTTAAAATAGGAATATTTCATCATCTTCAATTTAAAACCCCTTAAATTGGTACCTATGGGACAAGAAGGGAAGACAAACAAGGAATTTCGAAATTTTCTAAAAAACACACATATGCCATAATTCAGCTTCTCGGCGGCGAGAAGCTGAGAAAGCAGCACAGACTTAATAGCCTTTCATGCTTTAGGGAGATGTTGGCCGCCTGGTGTGTGGTGGGCGCTATCGTGCGCAAAGTCGGGGGTTCGAAACTTCTTGTGGTTTTTTGTTTTTTAAATCTTTTTTCTTTTTTAAAACTTAAATTCTCTAAATTTCCAGTTTTCTTGAGTTTCTGAAGATATAACAAGGTTAAAAGTGCGCTTTCCGGTTGTCTACTATCCCATATTTTCCCATTTTACTCCCTTCTCCTTCTTCTCCACATTTTTGTTTCCTAAATTCAATTTCGAAACATCTCCTTATGTATAGTGCAATTTTCCTGAAGACGTCTCTCTTTCTTAACGTCTTCTGAGGGCTTCAGAAGACGTTGACTCTTCTCGTGAAGAGCAAAAAAGGAGGAGGAGGAGGCGATAAATTTCGTATAGGAATAGGAAATGAAATTAAATGTCACCCCCAGTCAACCAACCCCAAAATTTCTAGGACCTTCAATTTTGATGAATTTCCTGGTGATGAAACATTTTGAGAACCAAACATTCAAAAGAAAAATTTCAAAAAAAATTTTTTGAAAAAAATTTTTTTTTCAATATTTCTTTTAATTTAAAATTTCCGAGTTTAATTTTTTTTGTTGTTGATTTTCTTCCTAACCAGAATTTTTTTAAACCTTGACTTACTCTTTTTATGCTCCTAAATCTACGTTTTTTCCTCTACAAAAAGACTTTTATCTTTCCTCCACTAAATTTGCTCCAGAAGACGTCAAATTCAAAATTTTCTAAATATTCCAAATACTGAAATAATCTACAAAAAATTTCCTATCGATTTGTATAATTTTCATAAAAATCCGAATAATATGAAAACAGTTACAGTATTCCAAAGCTTTTTTAGCCTATTTTATGTATATTTTCCACATGTTTTTATCCCATTCAAAGCCGTTTTTTTCAGCCTATTTTAGCCTATTTTAGTTTTTTTAGGCCTCTTCAGGTCCTTTGTAGGTCTTTTTTAAACCTATTTTAAGCTTATTTCAGCCTATTTTAAGCCTATTTAAGACATATTTTTAGCTTTTTTAGACTATTTTAGCCTACTTTAAGCCTATTTTAAGCTTATGTAAATCCTATTTTTAGCATTCCAGGTACGATTCTTCAATCCTCTATGACATACTTATCTCCCTTCCTTTCTTGTTTTCCAAAACAATCCCTTCTCTGCGTCTCTCACTCTCTCTCTCATTGGTCAAGCAAGCTCCGCCCACTTTTTCTGTCTGCGTATCTCTCTCACTCTCTCTCTCTCCTTTTGAGGAACATTGTGCATCTAGTAGGAGGATCATTCTGAGGGACGGAACCTTTCCAAATGGGATGGGAATTCCAATTTTTGGAAGTGGACCTTTTTTTGCTCCGCAGATTTTTTTCCTTGTGGGTTTTATGGGTCATTTTTTGGACCACCCGCTTTTAGCCTAATTTGATTTTAAGGTACGATAATTTTAAAAGTGTTGATCTACTCTTTGAACTAGGTTGAGACTTTTTTTTTGAATTCGCGCGATTTGTTGGGACATGTTCTGGCATTTTTGAAAGCCGAGATAACTGAGCTAAAAAATTAGCTTGTGTTTCATCCTAATTATCTTGGTTCATAATGAAGATAGCAAAATTTGGTCAACTAGTAAAATGTGTAAAATTGAATTTCCTACAATTTCTTAGTTTACAACTTTTATGTATCTTTCACAGAAACGGTGATAATCTAGATCGAATTTAACACACCTTAAGTGCGCCTCTAAAATAAGGGGGAGACGCCACAAATGTACTGACTCTTTGAAATACCGTATCTCAGCGAGGAAGAAAGCTATAAAAAAGTGATAAACTATTAAAATGTAAAAAATGACATTTCCTACGATTTATTAGTTTACAACTTTTTTGTATCTCTTACGGAAATTGAGGTAAAATAGGATATAATAAGCATTGTGATACTACACGGGGGAGGGGGCAACGCTTCAAATACTTCGACCTTAATTATCTCGACTCTCAATTAAGATATCAAAAAATGATCAATTAAAAAAATGTGCAAAATTAAATTTCCTACATTTTACTAGTTGACAGCTTTTTTGTATCTTTTAAGGAACGGTGATAATCTGTATGAAACTTAAAACACCCTAATAATAAGTGCGACTTGGGGAGGCACCGGAAAAGTACTGGCTCATTGAAGTACGCTATCTCAGCAAGAATAAAAGCTATCAAAAAGTGATAAACTGATAAAATGTGTAAA